CGGATATTACACAATCTGCAACTTCTGCACCTGCACCTGCACCTACAATCTCTACACCTGCACCTGTGTTGATTCAGCCAGATTCTAATCTTGGCCGTGGCCACAGAAACAAACTGCCATCGGTTTTACTAGAACCGTATGTTACTTACTCCGCTCAATGCATTGAAGACCCCATTATCTCTCTTTTCCCTGCAAACACTACTAATCAAACGTCCAATAAGTGCTCTTATCCATTGCATGATTACACGTCTTGTCATCGTTTCTCTCCTGCTCAACAGGCATTTCTGGCATCTGTGACTGCGGATGTTGAGCCACAATCCTTTAGAGAAGCATCTGAACTCAAGATTTGGAATAACTCCATGGACGATGAATATGGGGATTTAAACAAACTCAAGACTTGGACCATCACCACTCTTCCACAGGGAAAACGAGCTTCGGGCTGTAAATGGGTCTATCGGATAAAGTACAATTCTGACGGCTCTATTAGCCGATACAAGTCGCGTTTAGTGGTTCTTGGAAATAGACAAAAAAGGGTCTGATTACAAGGAAACTTTTGCTCCGGCCATCAAGATGGCAACATTCCGAATATTTCTTGGAGTTTCTTCTGCTAAGAACTGGGAATTGCATCAGATGGATGTTCACAATGCCTTCTTACATGGGGATTTGGAGGAGAAGGTATATATGAAGTTACCACCAGGCTATACAACCTCTGATCCTAATCAGGTTTGTAGACTTCACAAATCTCTTTACGGTCTCAAACAGGCTCCCCGTTGCTGGTTCACCAAACTATCAACGGCTCTGATTACTTATGGATTTCACCAGAGTGCATCCGACTACTCTCTATTTTCTTATTCACGTGGTGCTTTGGTCGTCTACTGCCTTGTTTATGTGGATGATTTGGTTATTGGCGGAAACGATTCCGTCTTGATTAAGTCTTTTTGAAGGCTTATCTGAGTAAGTGTTTTCATATGAAGGATTTGGAAATACTAAAATACTTTCTTGGTCTGGAAGTTTCACGAAGTGAGTCAGGTATCTATCTGTGTCAGAGAAAGTACGCTCTTGACATCATTTCTGAGTGCGGTTTACTTGGTTCGAAATCGGCAGAGACTCCTCTGGAACAGAATCGTGGTTTGGCTATGGATACAAGTGAGCTTCACCCGGATCCAGCTCAATATCGAAGACTTGTTGGTCGTCTCGTTTATTTGGTTATCACACGTCCAGAACTCAGCTACGCCGTGCATATACTTGCCCAATTTCTTCAAATTTCACGTCATCACCACTGGGAAGCTGCTCTTCGTGTTGTTCGGTATATCAAGCGAGCTCCAGGTCAATGAGTGTTTCTCAGCTCCACAAGCTCTATGTTATTATCAGCCTATTGCGACTCAGATTGGACTGCCTGTCCACTAACTCGGAAGTCTCTCACTGGTTATGTCATTATGCTTGGTGATACTCTGGTTTCATGGAAAACGAAGAAATAGAAAGTCGTGTCACGATCGTCGGCGGAGGCAGAGTATAGGGCAATGTCTGATACATATAGAGAGTTGAAATGGATTATACCATTATTAGAAACCTTGGGAGTGAAGCAAAACAGACCTATTCCGTTTCATTGTGACAACAAGGCGGCATTACACATTGCAGCAAATCCCATGTTCCATGAACGGACAAAACACGTAGAACTTGATTGTCATCTTGTGCGTGATACTGTAAAGGCTGGATTCTTGGACCACGTTATGTTCCAACAACACAGCAACTTGCAAATATTCTCACCAAGGCTCTCGGACGACACCAATTCAATCAACTACTGTGCAAGTTGGGCGTTCGAAATCTCCACGCGCCACCTTGAAAGGAAGTATTAGAATGATATACTTAGAATATATTTAATGTCTATCTCATAAAGATACGATAGACATATCTTATATTTGCATCTATCTTGTACCGTGTATATATACACTTTTTTCTGTTAATGAATAACACACAGGAGTATTACAGTTTAGCATTTTTTATAAACATATTTCAATCTATTTAAAATACGTACATCAATTCAACTAAAACAAAATAATTTAATCTCATAGTTTATATCAACTAAAACACGGGGTACCAACCTAGTTATTAAACAAACAAAAAGTTAATTTTTAAAAGAGAATTAGAAAGTTTAACTGAATTGTGGTCAAGTGTATTTTATCTGCTTTGATGCTAGAAGTTCAGTGTTTCTTTCTTGCTTTGGGTACATGTGTAATGTCTTTGTGTGCTTTTCTTTAGTTTGTTCGCAATATTTTGAAATCAGAGCGATGACCAAATATGGTCTGAACGGGTTCGATTGAGTTCGATATTGGTTATAATGATATATTAAAAATGATACATATAAACCATGATCTTATACATTTTTCTATGATTGTCTTTCAAATATTATAACTAATCAATATGTACAGCTTCTAAATATTAAATAAAAAATTGAATAAACATAAATGTTGTGAACTCATAGTGTTAAATTGAAAAAAATTAATTCTTAAAGAAACTTTATTTAGTATCTGATTTGTTTGTTTTAAAAAAATAATAGTAAACTTAGATTTGTTACAGTTTAATGTGTCGTCGGTTTCTGAATTTTTGCAAGTCGAATTCAGGTCTTTAACTAATCTAACTCTTTTAAAGTTTTATCATACATCCGCACGAAAATACTTCCCATTTATGGTTGAACCCAATCTAATTGCCGATTTGGTCCTATTTTAACACTGGTTGTACGTCTTGGCTCGGTCGAGTCTTTTTCTAACATTGATTGATGACTACATTGACTAGCAACTAATTTTATATAATTAACAGAATTCCGCAAATGGGCATTATATAGTTTAATTTGATTTCTGTAGCTGTATTATATGCAATTTGTACGTAGGCATAGACACGTAGTACATCAAATTAACAAACGTGAGAAATAATACAAAATAGTCATAAAAAAAGATAATATTACTATCATTCATCACTTTACTGTTTAACTGATTGAGTCACATAAGAGGTGATATACGTTGTACTATATATTTTTTTGGTCGAAGAAAGGAGACAATATCTCCCCTTATTTATTCAAAAAACAAAACCAATCACAAACATACATAAAATGTGTTATTTGGGAATTGAGACCTCTTAACCCATCCAAATCAGCAAAAAAAAATTAAAAACCAACTAAAATCTGCTAAATTAATATCCAATATCCAACTAATTTTTTTACGGATACTCGACCAATTAACATATGTCACGATCACGTAATCTATAACTTCCCACATATCGAGTTATGGGGAGATGTATTCTGCTTAATTTTTATAATAAAACTAGATTAATATCCTCGTATTTTTATAGATATAAAAATTGTATGTTAAATTCAATATTGATATAAATATTTGGATTTTGATTGGTCAGCCACACAGTACTTGTTTGAGATTCTCATTGCTAATTTCTATTAGACATTGAATTCAGCCAGTCTCACATATTTTATTTCACATTATAACCTAACTACATCTTCCATTATAACAAAAGTGGATTTTAATTTTATGCACTCTATATTAATCAATAAACATTATTTTCTAATTGATATTTAGAGGATGGTTTGAGTTCTTTACCATTCGACTAATAGCCGTCGAATAACATATTCAAGAGATTTTCTTATGGGTTTAATACATAGCGTAATTGTAAGGAACGGCCTCAAATAATTAGATGTAAGGAATGGCTTCAAATAATACATAGAAGAAAACGTCGACTGACAGCTTTTTGATACTACTGTTGTAAATAAAAAGTCGATATAGTCCTTACATTTAATCGTTTTCTTCATCATTCTTTTTTTTCTCTCACTTATTCACATATTTTCTTTTAACATTTTTCTAAAACTAAAAAAAAAGAAATAAGAAGAGAAATGTCGACAGTGATTGTCGGTGTTATCAATAGTGGCAATGGTGATAGTTATTGGTGATAGTGTGTTTTTCTCGATGGGGGTGGTGGTCGGTGGTTATGATGAAGTCGCCGGCGGTGGTGGTCGATGATGGGGTGGTGTTGGTGGTGGTGGTGGTGATGGTTGGTGGTGGAAGTGATGGCGATGTCGGTGGTGGTGTCGGTGATGGCGATGGTGGTGATAGTGTCGGTGGTGGGGGTGGTGGGTATAAGTAGTGCTGGTGGTGACATGATAGTTATCACAATAGTTATCACGATAGTTAGCATGCTCACAATGTTAGTATGATAATTTGTTGGTATGATAATAACATGATAATTTTTCATAACTTATACAGTTAACAAAGTTAACTTTATTTTTCATGAAATAATAGCAACGTTAAACTAATAGTTATCATGTGAGCTCGATATTTGTACAATGTGCTAATCGAGCATCATATTAGTTAGCATAGTAACACAATTAACATGATAACTATTGTGTTAACGTGCTATTATTTCAGTTTGCTAATCAAACATCATATTACTTAGCATACTTAACACAATTATCACAATATCATATTAATTACCATGATAATCGAATTGTTATCTATTCAAATCGTATCAAATAATTATAAGGGCAAAATAGTCATGCATAACATGTATCAACATAATTTTTAATTATTAACTCTACTTTCCAATTTCAGTATTAATTTAGGCCATCTACTAAATTTTCCCTAATACATAACACTATTTTAACTGTTAAATATAGTAACCACTAATTCACTATACCACTTAGTCTAAAAACCAATATATCCATATCAAAATAATATATACATCATCAACTCTATGAAGGATGTATTCAATCTAAAATTTGGAATGATTTGTATTCAAAATGATAAAAGTTCTGTTATTCAATCATGAATTTAAAAAATTTGTTTTTAATTTGATTTATATAATGAAATCCAACAATATTTACCCAAAAAAATAATAAAAAAACACTCTAGCTATATATATGTACATAAGCTTGATGGCTCTAATAAGAATCACTCAGTAATCAGTCTCATCATCTTTAAAGGCGATTCTGACCGGTAAGAATTAAAGAAGAGAAGAAGAAGACGACAGCAGTCGAGATGGCCTCTCACTCTCAGGTCTGTTTCTCTTCTTTGCAGCGAATCAGCGACGATCAATACGTCTCTCTGAATCATTATATCACAGGTTTGGTGGAAGAGAAATCGAATGTTAGAATCTTAACCCTAAACAGACCAAAGCAGCTGAATGCTCTTTGCTTCGACATGGTAATGAATCTTTCCATACCTTTTGTGTGCCCTAGTGTTAGTTTGTTCCATATTGGCTTGAATCAATCTTCTCTAGATCTCTCGGTTGCTGCAACTATTCCTTGCATATGTGGAGGACCCTAGTGTGAAACTTGTCATCCTAAAGGTAATCACTATCCTCATATCTCTTCCGTTTGCGCAACAGTACTGAATAACTTTGCCACAAGGTCAGGGAAGAGCCTTCTGTGCTGGTGGCGATGTTCCACCTGTTGTTCGTGACATCCTACAAGGTATGTCTCAATATCACCCTCCCGTCTTCTTTTATCTTTTTTACTTACTTTCAACTATTACACAAACTTTCTCTGTTATTCGTGGACTAGGCAAATGGAGACTCGGTGCCCATTTCTTCTCTGATAAATACACGCTAAACTATGTTATGGCCACATACAGCAAACCTCAGGTATATATGCCAGTATGGGAAAATATCCAGAAAAGAATATCCAGAATTTTGGATCCAGGTATTATGATTAGAAGTTTTATATATACGGATCATGCGGTACAGATCCATTTCCATATGTATATGTACACGTAGAAGAGTCATGCATATATCATATAATAAGATAGATGAACAACTCAAAATATCATTAAAAATAAATTTTCCGAGATGGTAATAAAATTAAATCATTAAATTAAAAATAAAACTCTATAAATCGAATCCATAAATTATCATAGTTATATATTTATATAAAATTATTTTTATAGTAATTATTAATTTATGATATTAATAGAATTATATATTTACATATATTTTTTTAAAATTATTATTTTATTATTTTATCGATTTGTACTATATTTTAGACTGATCTAATTTAAAACCGAAAAAATTTATTAATTTATCAAGTATGGTTTATAGAGTTTCTACTGCACATGTTCCAAAATTAATCTAAAATGATTATGAAATTAGTTTGAACATTTTTATTTTGTCATTTAATTCATGAGTTATTTTATTTTGAGATTTAATATTTTATAATATAATATTATTTTGCTATTAATCTATTATTTATGGATCCGATCCGGATATTAACGAATCCGAAATGGTTGATCCTCGGATCCAACTGACATTTGTTGATCATTTTATTTTGTGATTAACATTTTTTTAATAAAATATCGTTATTTTAATATTGTTTATGGATACGGATATTAACTGATCCAGCTGAATCCGATTATGCCCACCCTTACCGTAGCTTGTAGTCAGCATATTGTCCTTTTGGTGAATCATTTAAAAGTGTATAATTCGTTTTCCATACTATTTTGAAATTGTAGGTTTCAATTTTGAATGGTATTGTCATGGGAGGCGGAGCTGGTGTCTCTATCCATGGTCGATTTCGTATTGCAACTGAGAAAACGGTATTTTTTGTTGAGTTTAATGGATTTATAAATTCTAAATAAAATCCACATATGAAATTTTATGATTAGTAAATTTGTAGTATTTTTTTAATGTTATATAAATTTTCACAATAATTGAAATCATGAATATCTTAGAGAGGCATATTCGATCAATGATTTGAGATGATTTCATTTTTTCTAAATCTTTTCCTATTGAATCTTGCATTTGAAAAAATTATTTAAAATTTAATATTATGAAATTTGTCATTTATATAAATTTATTAAAATTTTGCCTTATTAGAAAGTTATAATTTTATTCATAAATTATATAAAAAAATATTCGAAATGATTTGAGAGTTAATTTAAAATTAAAAACCAATAGATTGAATTATCATCTCATATGATAGTATTTGAAAAGGTTTAGATAGAAAATTGTGTTTAAAATTTTACTCTTATTTAAAATTTTCCTAGATTTGGATTTATAGTAATCCATCCCCCTTAATAATTTTCCACAAATGCGCACTGAATTGGTTGACTTTGATCTCTTTTTATTGAGTTGACTTTGATTTCTATAGCTGTATGCCTGTATATATGCTTTTCGTTTTGGGTTCTTTGACTTTTTTCCTATAGCTGTGTTTCTCTTGTACTATGTGCAATTTGTTTTATGGTAATTTATACATGAATAATAATATTTTGTAAGACAAAACTAAAAACTTTAGAACACTTTCATCAATATGATTTATTTTGAGTATCTAAACAATAAAAAATAATATAAAAAGTTGAATTAATGAGAAAATTTCAAAATTTGAAATATGGTTTTTTAAATCTTTTAAATAAAATATGTTTCAGAATTCACTCTCTTATTTTTTGTTATAGATATTTTAATGATAAAATACGTGATGAAAGACGCTAGATGAAGGTGTTCTTAGAAAAGGGTCAAAAGACATGTAGATGTGATGCAAAGTGTTGAATGTTTCTTTATTTTATTGTTTTGGGCACATGAGTATGTCTTGCGTGATTTTCTATTAGTTTGGCTGTAGATCCTGACTCGATCGAGTCTTTTTCTATTAGTTTGGTTATAGATGCTGACAAATTTTGTATATTTATAGAAAGTACTGTTTAATAATAGTCTTCATCAAATGAATTTCTGCGAATGCGCATGGAAATAGCTGACTTCAATTTCTATATATGGCTGTACGTATGTATTATGTGCAATTTTTACGTATACATACATCAAATTAACAACGTGAATGATATATGGTTTTATGGTTATTTATTGAATTTAAGACGCAACTTTTCTTAACGATCAACAAACGTGTGTGTATCCATTTTATTTTACCGTTTGTTTACCGTTTATTTCCATCTGTTTACCGTTTCATTGAATGGTATTTATAGTACAACGTCACCAATCAAACGTCAAAACCTACATAAAATGTGATATATCGGGTCTCTCAACCTATCCAAATCAGCAAAATTTACACTTTTAAAAACCAACTAAACCTGTTAAACTAATATCTAATATCCAACGTGACCAATCAACTGTTTGTAAACTACAACTTTCCACGTATCAGGTTTTAATGAGATGTATTCTGCTTTCGATAGTAAAACTAGATTAAGATTTATAAGAACTGCATATTAATTTTAATTGATATAAACATTTAGACTCTGATTGGGTAAGCCACATACTTGTTTGGAATTCTCATTGCTAATTGTTTTTAAAAACCTGGATTCAGTCTCACAATTTCATTTCACAGAATACCCTAATTATACCTTTCAATATACTAAAAGTTGATTTTAAAAATAAAAAATTAGAGCGTGATTGTGGTTTTTACCATTCGACTAATACTCTAGCAAAGTGAAGTAGTTTAAGACTTGAAAGGTTTTAATTTAGGGTACACATATTCTACAGTTAAATTTATTTATATTTCTGACTAATTTTTTTTTCTATATTATCTTCATGCACTCTATATATATATATATATATGTACGCATGATGTGTCTAATAAGAATCATCTCGTCTCTAAAAGTTAAAGGAGATTCTAAGAATTAAAGAAGAGAAGAAGATGACGACAGCTGTGGAGATGGCTACTTACTCTCAGGTCTGTTTCTCTTATTTACTACGAATCAACGACGATCAATACATCTTTCTCTGAATCATTATGATCACAGGTTTTGGTGGAAGAGAAATCGAGTGTTAGAATCTTGACACTAAACAGGCCAAAGCAGCTAAATGCTCTGTGCTTCGACATGGTAATGAATATTTCCTTACCTACTATATTTCCATACCTTTTGTGTGCCCTAGTGTAAGTTTGTTACATATTGGCTTGAATCAATCTTCTCTAGATCTCTCGGTTGCTGCAACTGTTCCTTGCATATGAGGAAGACCTTAGTGTCAAACTTGTCATCTTAAAGGTAATAACAATCCTCATATCTCTTCCCTTTGCACAACAGTACTGAATAACTTTGCCATAGGGTCAGGGAAGAGCCTTCTGTGCTGGTGGCGATGTTCCACCTGTTGTTCGTGACATCGTACAAGGTATGTCAATATCACCCTCCCATCTTCTTTTTTTTCCTTTTACTTATTTTTAACTATTACACAAACTTTCTTTGTTATTCGTGGACTAGGCAAATGGAGATTCGGTGCCGATTTCTTCTCAGATGAATACACGCTAAACTATGTTATGGCTACGTATAGCAAACCTCAGGTATGTCCAAAGAATAGAATATCCAGAATTTCGGATCCGGGTATTATAATTCAACAATCCGGATACTCCTGGATTTGGTCCGGATCCGTTTATCATATCCATACACGCATAAGAATTATTAGATAAATAACTGAAATAATTATCATATGAAGGAAATTTTATTTAATGTACTTTTTGGAATATTCATAATATATATGTTCCAAAATTAATCTAAAATCATTATGAAATTAGTTTGCACATTTTTATATGACATGATAATTTTATTTTGTGATTAACATTTTTATAATAAAATATCGTTATTTTAATATTGTTTATGGATACGGATATTAACTGATTCAGCTGAATCCGATTATGCCCACCCTTACGGCGTAGCTTATAGTCAGCATATTTTCTTTTTGGTGAATCATTTAAAAGTGTATAATTCGTTTTCCATACTATTTTGAAATTGTAGGTTTCCATTTTGAATGGTATTGTCATGGGAGGCGGAGCTGGTATCTCTATCCATGGTCGATTTCGTATTGCAACTGAGAAAACGGTATTTTTTGTTGAGTTTAAACATGTTTTCGATGTTTTTGAGCATAATCAGCCTGTTTTAGATGGATGAAAAATAGATTGCACGCTCTGATTATGCTCATATCTTTTGAGTTATTTTGTTCTTCCAAAGGTTTTTGCCATGCCTGAGGCAGAACTAGGGCTCTTTCCAGATGTAGGCGCCTCCTACTTCTTGTCAAGGCTCCCTGGTTTTTTTGGTAACAAGTTAAAGTCATTTGGTTTTGCATGTCTACAAAGTGTAAGCCTATCTCTTTCTCTCATCCTTCTTGTCTTCTTGTTCAGGAGAGTATGTTGGCCTCACAGGAGCTAGGTTAGATGGCGCAGAAATGCTTGCTTGTGGTCTTGCAACTCATTTTGTGCCTTCAGCGGTATGAGCTTACTTTGCTTACGTCATTAATATGTTTGTCTTCAAAATACTAGAAACGAGAATGCAAAACTTTTAGATGAACTGGCACAAATTGTAAAAAAATACTCTGTAAAAAAATTGATTCTCTGATTGGTATTCTTTTTCATGCATGCACTTAGTGGCTGACGTATGTAGGAAGAAGATACGGGATCATACGACTCCGATTAAATATTTAAATATTTTTTTATTGTATATAAATGTTGAGAAAACGAGTACTATATTATGGATTAATTTTCGCATATTGATTATTACTTTCGATACCCAATTTCACTCAATAGCATTTTTGTAAGAAAAACAATTATATTATGATCCAAATAAGAAGTAGTTGTGGGTCCGCCGCTGCTTATACCAAACTTGCGGTCTATAACTTTTCTGGGGGTCTTAAATTCATACGATAATCTTAATGATTTTACACATCAGATTTTTTTTTTTCATAGTTACGTTAGATTTGCTTAGCCAAAGATTTTTACTTAGTAAGGTTTTTTCCTTGTAACACAGAGGTTGACTGCATTAGAAGAAGATCTTTACAAAGTCAGTTCAAATGATCCAACCTTTATCTCAACAATTCTCAATGGATACACTCAGCATCCCCACTTGAAACAACAGAGTGCTTACCACAGGCGAGTGTATATGCATGATTTTATCTCTTTTACTCTTTTCTATTTTTACTTAAGTTTGTCCGATATCTTTTCGCATGCAAACATCACAAGCATTTTCGGTCATGTACTAAAACATTTATTACTAATCAATCATATTTACATTACATTATTTAATGAAATTCAACCTTGTATTGGTGTCAGCTTTCAGTTGCTCTTACATGATCCATGCCTTATTAGAATGGAAAAATCGTGTCAATTGCTTCTTATCTTTCCGTTTGTTTCTTTGCGTAGGTTAGATGTTATTGATAAATGCTTCTCGAGGAGAACCGTCGAAGAGATTATATCTGCACTTGTAAGCTTCTCATTAATATATAGGATATTTGTTGACTTGCGATCCTGAGTTATACCATTGACAGTGTACTCAACCTGTATGTTGGCTAGGAGAAAGAGTTCACTCAAGAACCTAATGATTGGATCTCAAAAGCCATTACAGCTTTGAAGAAGGCTTCGCCAGCAAGCCTTAAAATCGGTCTTAGATCGGTTAGTTTCGCGAATGCATCAATGCAAATGCAATAATGATGAGGAAGAGCTGACTATGTGTATAAATTTCAGATAAGAGAGGGACGATTCCAAGGGGTGGGACAGTGTCTTATCCGTGAGTATAGAATGGTGTGTCATGTGATGAAAGGAGATATAAGCAAAGATTTAGTGGAGGTTTTTTGTCACCTTTCTCGATTGTATCTTTCTCTTGAAACTGTTTTTGTTGTAGACATAATTACACAACCGTGTATCACTTATGCAGGGGTGCAGAGCTATATTGATAGACAAAGATAGGAACCCAAAGGTTTAAAAAATATCTCCATTTATTAATTGTACGTTGGTTATATATGACTTTTGCATATTGTTGATATAATGACGTATAATGAAATTACAGTGGACGCCACGACGATTGGAGGAGATAAAAGAGAACATGGTAGAGCAATACTTCAAGAGAGTGGAGGGAGAAGAAGGATGGGATGATCTAAAGCTTCCACAGAGGAAGATCTTGCCTCCTTCAGTGATCTCAAAGCTTTGAAGTGGAGAAGTTGATGGAGCTGACATGATCTTTCATTCGTTAGAGCTCATCTTGCTTCACGCAGGCTCAAATCCTCATCCTTGTTGCGAGTCCAGCATGTTGATTTAAAAATTTTCTTACTTTTTCGAGAAGGCATGTTATTTATCAATTTAAACCACAACAAATCATTTCCAAGTTCAAATAATAACTCTTATAAACTAAGTTTAAACCGATTCGACATAAAACCATCTTTAAATCAATAATAAAGAAAATTTATAAAAATCATTTTTAAGTTTAATAAATAATAATACTTACAATAATAATAAATAAAAACTTATGTGATCCCGAAAACAAGCACCACATCGATACGATTCCTCCAGCTACTCCACACGCTCACCTGCAAGAGAGAGAGGTGAGTATTCTAACAATACTTAGTGAGTGAAAGCTTTAGAGCTCACTCAATCTATCATACACATTTATAACTACAGACATACGCAAGTCCCAAGTTAAAACACACAGATAATCATCACGTCATACCGACGCACCATTACAACAAAGATCAAGTCCTAGTAAACTATGGTGTCCCTGCAACTCATTTGGCTCCGGGAATCATCCCATCCACCCATGCAGCACCCGTCTCGTCAGACAATCCTGAACTAAGACCGGCCACGCAAGGCTCGTCGTGACAGCTCAACACACAAAAGTATCACAGTGAGGGTAAAACCCTTTGCACATATGATTTCAACCCGCGGATACACCCGTCACATCCCTTGGACAACATATCCTATCGTCTCGCAAACGATACTATTTTTACACACACATTATCATGCACTATTCATCACATCAATCAACCATATTCATTTTTAAACAATCATAATCATATCTAGATTCCTTCAAACAAATATAAACACGCACATATATATATATAAATATTATATAATTATATAACACCCAAATACGCATATACTTATAGTTATACGTAGGTATATGTGTTTTAATTAAGACTTAACATATATACGTGATTATAAACCTTATTTAACGGAATGCACCACCACGGTCCTCACCTTAGTCTCACGGATGCAAATGAAACAGACAAGTGACGAAGCTGAACGAAGACTAGAGAAACTGATCGGACAGATCTGAAACAACACGAGATCAATGGTTCCTTAAGACGCAAGCAACAATGGTGCAACATCAACGCAAATCCAATACGAGGAACAATGACGGGATCTTGCTTACCCAAAGCAATGACAAACTTCACCCCCAACGTAACAGCGAAACCAATAAGGAAGATAGTGAAGCTTACGGCTGAAGAAACGGATGACAATGGCGGATCATTAATATATCAACTCGCGGGTTAACACAACAGAAGTGACGAAGGGCTTGGATCTACTTACCACGGTGAATCACAGATGATGGCGGTGACTTGGAGTAGCTGATCGGCGGTGGTGGCACAGTTGAGAAGACGGTGGCTTGGTGTTGACGTGCGGTCACTTCGTCCCACAGAATCGGACGATACAGATTGATGTTCTGAAGCTCCGGCGTGAACAGTGATGGCAGTCGCCGTCGTGATGAGATTCCGGCAGAGGTTCAGCGTGACAAAGATGTGTGCGGCTCGTTCGTTTGTTGTTGCAGCTTTTTGACGAGGAAGGAGGTGAAGGTGATGAGGGTTTTGCTCTCTCTCTTTTAGGCTGGAAATAATGTGGGCTTCTCTAATTTTTAATGGGCCTCGGCCACGATCGTTACAATTCTCCTAGAAGAATTCGACCCTAAATTCGATTTGTTTTCCGGAAGACCGCTCTTGTCCTTAAAAAGCTCGGGAAGTTATCTAGCATTTGAGTTTCTCGCGCAATGGTTCCTCATATATACCCCTTTATATCCCATAGAGACCTTGTGTGGTGACATTTCGAGGTAGATGGGTCCATTAAACCATTTCTTAAAATTATGTCGTAGTGGTTGAACTCCATTTCTTTGAGATTTTCCGTTAACTCCATCCCTTGTAGTATAATGGTAGATCCCAGTAGACTTTACTTTTCCATACCATCCTTTTGAATCCATTTCTTCCGTGGGAAAAAAAAATATTCCCGCAAAGGTCCAATACTTTGTCAATCCCGGGCTCACAAAACTGTGTGCCGCACAGGTATTAGAAAGCGTAAGGCTAGCTTACCCCCAACTAAAACCGATTCTACACATATTTTACTTACGACTAAGCATGCCATTCAACTTCACACACAAATTTGTTTACCACAATCCTTAAGCATGATAGAAGTAAAAATAAAACAATACATACCGGAAATTGGGTCGGTGCCATTATGGTCTCCAGTAATAAAGGCGTGCGGTGCTATCGCCAGCCTCGCTGGTGGTGGTGGTAGCTGCCCCTGGTTACGGTCTCCTAGCTGCTGACCTGGTAGCTCAGTCATGCAGTCTTTAGCGATATGACCAATTTGTCCACAACGATGACAGCCTCTGAAAGGTTGTGCCCTCCATGTGCAGTCTTTCTGGTAATGCCCCAACCGATTACATTTGTAACAGACAATATTCCTCTTGTTGCAAATTCCATGGTGCCTTCTCCCACACGTTTCACACACATTAGGTGTGGCTGATGATTGTCCTGCATTTGCGGTGTCCCATGTCCTCTTATGGTTTTCCGCTCCCTTGTCTGCCCTTGCTTGGACATTCTTATTTTTCTTAAGCTCCTCCTCTAACTCTTTTTCCTGCATTGCTGCGATTTCAACTAACTCGACCATGTTATTGTAAGTCCTCAACTGGCAATGGTTCTTAAGCTCAATCTGCATTCCCTTTATGAACCTACGAATCTCCTCATGCTCATCCATGAACTTGCCTGCAAACATTTTCAAGCGGTTGAACTCTTCCTCATACTCCCTGATGTTTCGGTTCCCTTGACGAAGATCCTGAAATTCCTCCTCCATCTGATCCATGGCTTCAGGCGGAAAGTATTTCCTGAAAAACTCTTCCTTGAAGTCATCCCAGTTCAGCTTATAACGCCCCCGCATTGCTTTCACCATACCATCCCACCACACTAGTGCCTCATCTTTGAGATACTGAATTGCCAGATCCTTGCGATACTCCACTGGGCACCTGAAAGCATCAAGGTTCCGCTCCAATCTTTTCTACCAGTTATCTGCGGCTGTTGGGTTGGACTTACCTTCAAATAGATCTGTGCCCATGCTTTTCAAACGGTCCATGGCCTCCCAATATATTAGTCCCTGCACTAGTGCTTGTACAACCGGTGGCGGAGGTGGATGCTGGTTGTGTGCAGCAACATTCGGCTCAACATGCGGGGGTGCAGCTCCTCTTCCCACTGGATTCTCTGGCAAATTCCCAAATTGAGCTCGATACCTCTGAAACTCTTCCAACACAGCTGCATGCTCAGTGGCTCTCGCATTTTCCTAAGCTGTTACAGCTTCAGCAGTATTCACTTGTTCTAAATTCTCATTGTGCACACTTTCAGACGATGCAGTTGGGGTTTCCACTCTTGCCCTCGGGCGAACAGCAGCTCTTCCACGTCCTCTCTTTGGCGGCATCTTTAAATAAAAACAACAAATGGTCAGACTCTTCAAGACGAACTAAACGCAACAACCAACAACACAAACCAAAGCAAGTTCGATCCCGATGGTGCTCTTTTTTTTCTATTTATAAAACTCTCCCCTCTTTTTTAACTTAATAATATTTAAAATATTTCATATGTTTGAAATTAATCAATTATTTTGGAAACATTCAAATCAAAAAATAAAAGAATAATACTTTTAAAATATTTAGTATTCATAAAGAAATTAACCATTAAATCGAAAGTCGAAAGAAATCAGTATTTTTAACGTATATATACATATATAAAAATATATTCTAGCAAATCCGAAATAAACAAATAAACCTGTAATCAAATAACTCAAACCGAATAAAATATTTTTTTTTAAAACCGCCTCCCGGGTCATAACCGGTTTGGCAAACCTCCGCTCTGATACCAAATTGTAACACCCGTCTCTTACTTCTTCGAGCAGGCATGTTATTTATCAACTTAAACCACAACAAATCATTTCCAAGTTCAAATAATAACTCTTATTAAACCAAGTTTAAACCAATTCGACATAAAACCATATTTAAACCAATAATAAAGAAAATCTACAAAAATTATTTTTAGTTTAATAAATAATAATAAAAAAAATTTTTGTGATCCTTAAAACGAGCACCACATCGATATGACTCATCTGGCTACTCTACACGCTCACCTAAAAGAGAGAGGGGTGAGTATTCTAACAATACTCAGTGAATGCAAGCTTTAGGCTCACTCAATCCATCATACACATTTATAACTACGGACATACGCAAGTCCCAAGTTAAAACACACAGACAATCATCACGTCCTACCGACGCACCATTACAACAAAGATCAAGTCCTAGTAAACTATGGTGTCCCTGCAACTCATTTGGCTCCGGGAATCATCCCATCCACCCATGCAGCACCCGTCTCGTCAAACAACCTTGAACTATGACCGGCCACGCAAGGCTCGTCGTCACAGCTCAACACGCAAAAGTATCACAGTGAAGGTAAAACCCTTTGCACATATGATTTCAACCCGCGAATACACCCGCCACATCCCCCAGGACAACATATCCTATCGTTTCGCAAATGATACTATTTTTACACACATTATCACGCACTATTCATCACATCTATCAACCATATTTATTTTTAAACAATTCTAATCACATCTAAGTTCCTTCAAACAAATATAAAGGATAACATGACGTATACTAAAATTTCAGTGGAAGCCACGGCGATTGGAAGAGATGAAGGATAACATGGTAGAGTAATACTTCAAGAGAGTGAAGGGAGATGAGAGATGGGATGATCTAAAGCTTCCACAGAGGAAGAAATTGCCTCCTTTAGCGATCTCAAAGCTTTGAAGTGGAGAAGTTGATGGAGCTGACACGATCTTTCATTTGTTAGAGCTCATCTTGCTTCACGCCTACGCTAGCCTTCAAATCCTCGATCCTTGTTGCAAGTCATGCTGATGCATGTTGATTTAAAATTATTTACTTATATTAGACTAATCGATTGTTTCTCTGCTTTTATAAGTACTGTTGAACGTTCAATAATGAGAGAACAAGTTTTTCTTATGTCTAGGGACCTATCTCTCCACTTTTAGACTTTCCCTTGCTTGTAGGAACTACGATTCATATTTCTTTTCATTTCTTTGTTTCATGTTTTCTATTTAGTTAGTTTTTTTATTTTACGTTCTGATTAAAACTGCATCGGTCGTATCAAAGATTATATTTTGTTTTTATCCAAAACGTTATATGTTATAGGGTATTGTTAGGGTAAATTCAAATTCTATATAAATCGTAGTTTATGGTTTGGTTAATGATTTAGAGTCTATATCATTGTTATTTGAACTTTAAAATGTGAAATTGATAAGAAAAGTAATGTTTTGATATAAGTTTAAATCAAAAATATTTGATTTAGGGTTTAGGGTAAACAAACTTATGCAGTAGACTTTTCGGGTAGACTTCAAAAAAAATATAGCAGAAAATCAAAATTATTTAACAAATTGGACGGGAATCGAAATCGAAAAAACATATTGAAGTATACTTTTCGAGTAGACTTCTCTAGTGAAGTCTACTAAACCGAAAATTTTCCTACATATATAAGGAGAGTCTAATCTAATTGTGTTAAAAATAAAGCTTTTTCTCTCTAAAAAAGTGTCTCTCTCTCCTCTACCTCCTCTCTGGCCATGAATCTCTTATCCTTCCTCTCTTGCCATCAATCTCATCTCCATCCTCCATCCTCTCTATTTCGATTATGGTAGTGGTAAGCAAATATGAGGTTTTGTGTTCTTTGTGTTGTTTGCTTTGAGTTCATATTGTAAATCTGAACTTATTATTACATATTTGAGCTTATTGTTGTAGATATGAGTTTATTTTTGCAAATATGCGCTTATTGTTATATAAAATTTGTACACTTTGTTGTAGATCTGAATTTTTTTGGTTGTTGCATATCAGAATTTTTTTTTGGCAAATCTGAATTTTTTTTTGTTGCAGATCTGAATTTTGTTTATTTTGTTGCAGATATGAATTTTTTTTATTTTGTTGCGGATCTGGGATTTTTGTTTTGTTGCAGAGCTGATTTTTTTTTTTAATTTTGTTGCAGGTATAGTGTTTGTAAGGAAGTGTTATTGGTTCTTGTATTTTAATGGATTTGAGAATCCAAACCAAATTCAGTGTTATTGGTTCTTGTATTTTAAATTTTATATTGAAATACAGTGTTATTGGTTCTATAATTTTAAAATCCATAATGAAATACAGTGTTATTGGTTCTATCATTTTAGAATTTAAATATTATAAGGATTTGAGTTTTAATTGAATTTGAATGGATTTGGAAAGATTTTCATGACTAAAATACAAAGACCCAAATACAAGGTCTAACCTTGGTATTTGAGTGGATTTGATTTTTTTCTATTTTGCTGATTTTGAAATCAATAAATTTATCAAATCCAAAGAAGATTTATAAATCCACCAAAATACAAGAACCAGTAACCCCTACTAAATATAGCAGTTTTGTTGAAATATGAATTTCAACATTTTTTTCCTTATTGTGCAGATCTGAGCGTATTTATTTCTCTTTAGATTTTGTTGGAAGCAGACTTCAACAGCAGGCTTCTCGAGTAGACTTCTCGCGCAGACTCCAGTAACATACATCTATTTCAGACATTTTTTATATGCCATTTTTAAGATTTAAAATTAGTGACCCTGACATGTTTATTTGTTTAGAATGTCTACTTTATATGTAATATTGGTTTGGATTAAATGTTATTTATCATATTCTTAAATTATGTGTGTTTATGTATTCTGCAAAAGTGACTTCACTGTCAGATTTCATATGCAGATTTCTTTGTCCGACTTCATATGTAGATTTTTCGATTAGACTTCTCTAGTAGATTTCGCAAGTATATTATATTATGTAACATATTTTTTATCTCAACTGATTTATATTACATAACAATTTTTTTACATAAACTTTTGAAGTAAACTTCTTACTTCATTTACTCAGTCATCACCATACTTCTTCCTTGACATCTTACTTAGTCATCACCATCTTTGAACCTCTAATAACACAAGAAAATTAATTCAGTTTTAAATACACAAAAAAACATGTAAAACTCATAACAAAAAAAGCATGTAAACCTACTTAGAAATGTCACAACAAGTCTTTTCTCACTCATTCTTTATAAACAGTGGGTATGTGAACCATTCTCTATAAGAAAAAAAATTCAAAATACACTAGAAATCATTGTCGAAAAGGTAAACTGTAAACAAAGTCTACAATGTAGTTTGCGGACTAATAAGCTAAATACCAAATAAAACAAGAAAATTAACTAAAGCTAAACTGTAACAAAAAAAATATCAAACTCATATATAAAAAAAAACAATAAATATCACACACTTAAGAGTCAAAGAATAAATTTTATTTGTTACAAATATCTCAATTAATTTTATAAAAAAATAATGTCGCAGGCTGCAAACAAGACTTCAAGTGAAGTCTACAGACTAATAAGCTAAATACCAAATATAGAACAAAATAATTAATTAAAGCTAAACTATAACAAACAAACATGTCAAACTCCTACATAAGCAAGAACAATAAATAATACACACTTAAGAGTCAAAGAATATATTTTATTTGTTACAAATATCTTATCAATTAATTTTATAAAAAAATTAATGTCGCATACTGCAAACGAAGTCTTCAAAGAAGTCTACTCGAGAAGTCTACGTAAATAAATTGTTAGTTTTGCAATTGACCAAACTTTGACTTTTTCGTAAGAAGTCTACTCGCAAAAGTAAACTTCTTCGGAGAAGTCTACTTTCAAAGTAGACTTCTTAAAGGTTAGTTTTGCAATTGACCAATGTTGACTTTTCAGAAGTAGACTTCTTAGAGGTTAGTTTTGCAACTGACCAATGTGGACTTTTCAGAATAGACTTCGTTTGAAGTCTACTTTCAAAATATACTTCAAACGAAGTCTACTTGGGTTAGTTTTGAGGTTGAACAAACATTGAACTAATTCCCAAGTAGACTTAAAAGTAGACTTCAAACAAAGTCTAATCGGAAAAGTCAACATTGGTCAATTGCAAAACTAACCTCTAAGAACTCTATTTTCAAAGTAGACTTATTTGGAGAAGTCTATTTTTGCGAGTAGACTTATTACGAAAAAGTCAAAGGTTGGTCAATTGCAAAATTAACCCCTTTTTACGTAGACTTCTTTTGAAGTCTACATCATTTTTTTGTTGTCAAAGGAAATGGCGCAGATTTCAACTAAAGTCTACTGTCAAAAATTGGTACGCATGGTCAATTGCAAAACTAACATGTGTGTTGACCAGCAGACTTCTTCTGAAATCTACTACCGAAAGTAGACTTCTTAAAGCGGCACAGATCTGAAAACTCGTGAAATTTGACTGAAAATTACCTACCAGTGTTATTTAGCTTCTTCAACCACCGATTTCTTCAATTCTAGCCACCACCAAACAAGCTCAATCAATTTGCCATACCAAATCACCAGATATGATAATATCTTAGAACATCAAGTTTTGAGAAGTTAGATTATAGGGTTTTTGTGCTGAAAATATAAAAAAAAAATAGAAGAATGGAATATTAAGAATAGAGGTAATGAACTTACAAAAGCAGGAAAAAAGGTTGTTGAAGTGATAAAAACTTCAAATTAGTTGAAAATGGTGATTGAGTGAATTAATGGTGATGATATTTTCGTGAATGAGTGAGAAGTATGAGAATTATTTAGTCAATTGAATTTTCAAAAATTAAAAAGATAATAATAATATAATAGCATTTTCGTGAATACATGAAATAGATAAAGATGTAACTGACAGAAAATAACTAATATTAAAATAGGTGAAAAAAAAAATTATATTTACAATTAACTTCAATTTATAGGTTATATTTGTAAGAAGCTCTTTTTTATATGGGATATTTTTAGTAAGAGTCATTCACTCATTATTCCACTGTGAGATATTATCAACACATGTTGTTCGAGGCTACGTCAACGTAGGCTTACACCAATTGTTTATTATAGTAGAGATTCCGATCTTTATTTATTATAGTAGAGATCCCGATCTTTATATATTAAATTTTCTTGTTTATATAGGAAACAAAGGAGAAGGAACCATCGGTTCCTATAACATGTGGAAATGAAAGATAAGATGTACTTCTAGTGACAAAGAGGAACACTTCCTCTTATTTGTAAAAACATATTATTAAAACTTGATCTATAATTTAGATTTGAGGATCGTGTCTTAGAAGTTCTTGATGAAATGACACACTCACACACACACACACAAGTCTCGTCTCACTCAAACCTGTGGCTGATAGGTGAAACCATTGATAGTGAGACCTCCATCAACACAAATGGTCTGGCCAGTAATATATGAAGCGGCAGGCAGACACAGAAAAGCCACAAGTGATGCAACCTCGTTTGGCTCTCCAGCGCGACCAAGTGGAGTTCTACCAAACAAACTCTTCTTGTAACCGGCGTCTCCGAGAAGCTGATGATTCACAAGATTTTAAGAAACAATAATGAGAAACGAATGAAATTAAGTTCAGAATTATTAGAAAGAAAAAAAAACTGGTGGTGTCACTGATTACATCTTGACTCATAGAAGTTTGGACAAAATTAGGAGCAACAGAGTTGGATCTTATGCCGTCTCGTGCCCATTCACACGCCAAATTTTTTGCTAGGTGATTCATAGCTCCTACAGACACACACGTATAAAGAAAAATTATAAAGTACAAAGCTAGAATCCCAAAAACAAATTGATCTAATGTTCAAAGCTTTTATAGAAATGAATTATACAGTATCAGGACATTCAGTTAATCATTGGACGTAGCTTATGTAATATTATATAACTTAAAATCTCTCCATTTATTAGTCAGTCTGTGTACCTTTGGTTAAACCATAGATAGATCCACAGTCCATTGATACAACCCCTCCAACAGAGGAAATAAAGACGATGCTTCCAAATCCAGAAGCCTTTAAAAGAGGATGTGAAAGTTGGCTAAGATGATAAGCAGACTCTATGTTTGTTGTAATATGGAACGAGAAATCGTCTGCCACATATTCTATTGTTGGTTTTGTGCGAAGTCCGCCAACGTTGTTCACCTATGTTCAACAACAAAAAGGAGTAACAAAAGTCCTACTATTTTTTCCTATGAGAATATGTTTAGTTTCTTGAAATTAAGATTAACTTACAAGAATGTTCAGCTTCCCATCGAACATCGTTGAGACGTTCTGCATGAGTGTTTCTCTCTCGGGACGAGAAGATACATCACAGATTGAACCACTCACTTGGAACCCTTTCTTTTTCCATTCGCTTAAACTTTGATTGAGCAATGTTTCGGATATGTCGCATACATGGATTCTAGCTCCAAAACTGGATAGCTCCTCTACTATGGCATGCCTAAAACAGTCCACAACGAATGAAAAAAAAACAAAATTAGCTAGGGAGTAGCAAGAAAGCAAAAACAGCGGGAAACATATGATATATATAGTTAGAGAATAGAAAGACGAACCCGATTCCGCTGGCTCCACCAGTTACAAGTGCAGTCATACCTTGAAGACTCCATCTTTTATCCATTTTTTGCTATGTTTGTGTTTATGTAGTAATGACCAGAGATGCCACATAACATATATATAGAGGCAGAGTAGATCAAACATTACTAGCTAATGACGTTTCGGAAGGTGGAAACATTAAGCATAAGTAAATTAAATATATAATAGTGATTTAGGAAATTAACACAAAATTTGAGGGAAATTGGCTAAATGGCAATTGGGTATAAATTAAGTACGAGATGTCAATAATGAAAAACGAATATTTTAATACCGATTTACCGTTATGGAACGGATATGATATTCTTTTATATGAGTGTTGAATTTTCAAATGACTGCCCTAACAAACCCTAAAGCAAACAAAATCTTTAACTCTAACTTCCTTTTACTAAATTAGGTGTCCAAAAGATAATTTTTGAAATAATTTATTTGGTAATTTTATTACAAAACACGAGTTTACTAATGTGTTTTCAATCTACTATTAATCTGTCAATTATTTATATTTAATTTATCATTAATCTGGTAATAATTACGTTTAATTGTATGACCAATCAGTTTGCTAGCAGTTTGCATTCAGTCTACTATTAGTTTGAAGTAAAGTTAACTAGAAAAGTATGATTGATATTTATAAAAATAGTAAAAAATGATCATTTTTATAAATTTTCTTTAACGAGAGAGGGTAAGGGAGTGGATGTTTTTTTATAAAACACAAAAATATGTTTGTAGATTTTGTAGTAAATAGAATAGTATGAATGAAAAATAAATGTGCATATATATGTATCATTCTATTTAAAACAATATATTGCATATATGAAAAAACAATATATTTAAAACAATATATTGCATATATGAAACAATATAAATAAAAAATAGAATACAACAACATGGTCTTTTTATTTAAAACAATATATTTTTGAAAACTTCATGTCCGTTTAAAATTTTTTTAAGTTACTGCATATATGAAAAAAAAATATAGTTTTTTTTTGTCAACAAACGCACTTACTTAAATCATTAATGCTAATAAGATTAAAAGCAAATGAATTGAAAGAGATAAAAAAAAGTTTTGCAACAAACTATTACAAGAAAGATAGAGGAAGAGAAAAATATGTGGTGTAGGTTTGACTAGTAACATGTGGTATCTCTGATTTAGTTTGAGTTATGAGTATAACTCAAAAATGTTATCAATCATCTATATATTTTAAAAAAATTTGTATTAGAGTTTGAGTTATAATATGTTATGGTCACATTAGAAATTTGAGTTATATCTTTGTAAAATTGATAACTCAACTCAAATTTTAAATTATAAATATTTTACAAAAACATAACTTATGATTTAAAAATTTGAGTTGAGTTATCTTTTACAAAGACATAACTAAACATTTGATTTGTACGTATCCTAAATATTACGGGATGGATGATTAGTTTATGTGAATGTTGAAATCTTAAAATTATTGAAATCGTCATCTGTTATCTAAAAGAAAAACATGCTTGTTCTATGCATGCCAGTTCATTATATATATGAAAATGTGACGTAATCACCAGTTAACATAAATCATAAAAGCATAAGTATTTTAACAACTGTATTACTGTCTCGCATTTTAATATCATTTTTCTCTTTTTCAAAAGAAATAAATTGAATGAATGAAATTATCAGAACAACCAAAAGCCAAAACCAAAGAAGAGCCAAACCCTAGGCCACTAGTGGTCAAATGAATTTAAGACAGAGAGTCGTAACATCGCGGTAACTAACTTTTCTTCGTCAAAGAGATGTTTTAAGAACGAAATTGAGGAGAGTCGAAGATCAGTCACCACACTTGTAGCATTTTCAAAGGTACCTTTATTGAATTTTTATCTTCTTTTCGCAAAGATATATTGGTACGCTCAATTCATTTATAAATTTTGTCATGCTTTTGCAAAATAGTTCGTCTTGAATATCGATACTTTTTTCCGAACATTTATACTTTTTTTATTACAATCAAATATATATATATATAAAGACTTGCTTGACATTTGTTCACACTCAAATCAATAAAATACACTTATTTTATAAATTGATTTGGATGTGATTCATGTGAACAAGCATTGAGTACTATTCTATTAATTTGATTGTAGAACTTGACTCGATCAATTTTTTTTTTTAACCTTGATCGAGTCTTTTTTTTTAATATATTTATTGATTGATATTTTTCACCCAACTTTTAGATTGACTAGAAAGTACTGATCTAAAAGTTTATTGGGATTAATGGTTAATAGATTATAATTGATTTAGAAACCCAAACAAAAATATGCGAGTTATTAGATCATTAATATTAAAATCTTTATCAGAAAATTATGTTATTCCTTTAGTAATTTTCGAATAATATATAAAATCAAGTGTTCTCAGTAGTAAAGATTTATCTAAAATTTTGATTTTGTTCTGGATTTGGGGAAAAAAACTCAAGTTAAAATACAAAATTGTATCCAAAAGAATTTTTAATGGATTTATAAATTCTAAATAAAATCATCATATGAAATTTTATGATTATTAAATTTGTAGTATTTTTTAATAATATATAAATTTTCACAATAATTGAAATCATGAATATCTTAGAGAGGCATATTCGATCAATGATTTGAGATGATTTCATTTTTTTTCTAAATCTTTTCCTATTGAATCTTGCATTTGAAAAAATTATTTAAAATTTAAGATTATGAAATTTGTCATTTATATAAATTTATTAAAATTTTGCCTTATTATAAAGTTATAATTTTATTCATAAATTAGATAAAAAATATTCGAAATGATTTGAGAGTTAATTTTAAATTAAAAACCAATAGATTGAATTATCATCTCATATGATAGTATTTGAAAAGGTTTAGATAGAAAATTGTGTTTAAAATTTTACTCTTATTTAAAATTTTCCTAGATTTGGATTTATAGTAATCCATCCCCCTTAATAATTTTCCACAAATGCGCACTGAATTGGTTGACTTTGATCTCTTTTTATTGAGTTGACTTTGATTTCTATAGCTATATGCCTGTATATATGCTTTTCGTTTTGGGTTCTTTGACTTTTTTCCTATAGCTGTGTTTCTCTTGTACTATGTGCAATTTGTTTTATGGTAATTTATATATGAATAATAATATTTTGTAAGACAAAACTAAAAACTTTAGAACACTTTCATCAATATGATATTTATTTTGAGTATCTAAACAATAAAAAATAATATAAAAATTTGAATTAATGAGAAAAATTCAAAAATTGAAATATGTTTTTTAAATCTTTTAAATAAAATATGTTTCTCAATTCACTCTCTTATTTTTTGTTATAAATATTTTAATGATAAAATACGGGATGAAAGACGCTAGATGAAGGTGTTCTTAGAAAAGGGTCAAAAGACATGTATTATTCTGATGTGATGCAAAGTGTTGAATGTTTCTTTATTTTATTGTTTTGGGCACATGAGTATGTCTTGAGTGATTTTCTATTAGTTTGGCTGTAGATCCTGACTCGATCGAGTCTTTTTCTATTAGTTTGGTTGTACATGCTGACTAATTTTTTATATTTATAGAAAGTACTGTTTAATAATAGTCTTCATCAAATGAATTTCCGCGAATGCGCATGGAAATAGCTGACTTCAATTTCTATATATGGCTGTACGTATGTATTATGTGCAATTTGTACGTATACATACATCAAATTAACAACGTGAATGATATATGGCTTTATGGTTATTTATTGAATTTAAGACTCAACTTTTCTTAACGATCAACAGACGTGTGTGTATCCATTTTATTTTACCGTCTGTTTAATTACCGTTTGTTTACCGTTTATTTCCATCTGTTTACCGTTTCATTGAATGGTATTTATAGTACAACGTCACCAATCAAACGTCAAAACCTACATAAAATGTGATATATCGGGTCTCTCAACCTATCCAAATCAGCAAAATTTACACTTCTAAAAACCAACTAAATCTGTTAAACTAATATCTAATATCCAACGTGACCAATCAACTGTTTGTAAACTATAACTTTCCACGTATCAGGTTTTAATGAGATGTATTCTGCTTTCGATAGTAAAACTAGATTAAGATTTATAAGAATTGCATATTAATTTTAATTGATATAAACATTTAGACTCTGATTGGTAAGCCACATACTTGTTTGGGATTCTCATTGCTAATTGTTTTTAAAAACCTGGATTCAGTCTCACAATTTCATTTCACAGAATACCCTAATTATACCTTTCAATATACTAAAAGTTGATTTTAAAAATAAAAAATTAGAGCGTGATTGGGGTTTTTACCATCCGACTAATACTCTAGTAAAGTGAAGTAGTTTAAGACTTGAAATGTTTTAATTTAGGGTACACATATTCTACAGTTAAATTTATTTATATTTCTGACTAATTTTTTTTTTCTATATTATCTTCATGCACTCTATATATATATGTACGCATGATGTGTCTAATAAGAATCATCTCGTCTCTAAACGTTAAAGGAGATTCTAAGAATTAAAGAAGAGAAGAAGAGGACGACAGCAGTGGAGATGGCCACTTACTGTCAGGTCTGTTTCTCTTATTTACTACGAATCAACGACGATCAATACATCTCTCTGAATCATTATGATCACAGGTTTTGGTGGAAGAGAAATCGAGTGTTAGAATCTTGACACTAAACAGGCCAAAGCAGCTGAATGCTCTGTGTTTCGACATGGTAATGAATCTTTCCTTACCTACTATATTTTCATACCTTTTGTGTGCCCTAGTGTTAGTTTGTTACATATTGGCTTGAATCAATCTTCTCTAGATCTCTCAGTTGCTGCAACTGTTCCTTGCATATGAGGAAGACCCTAGTGTCAAACTTGTCATCCTAAAGGTAATAACAATCCTCATATCTCTTCCGTTTGCACAACAGTACTGAATAACTTTGCCACAGGGTCAGGGAAGAGCCTTCTGTGCTGGTGGCGATGTTCCACTTGTTGTTCGTGACATCGTACAAGGTACGTATGTCTCAATATCACCCTCCCATCTTCTTTTTTTCCTTTTTGCTTACTTTCAACTTTTACACAATCCTTCTCTATTATTTGTGGACTAGGCAAATGGAGACTCGGTGCCGATTTCTTCTCAGATGAATACATACTAAACTATGTTATGGCCACGTATAGCAAACCTCAGGTATGTCCAAAGAATAGGATATCCGGAGGTTCGGATCCGGGTATTATAATTTGACAATCCGGATAATCCTGGATCCGGTTCGGATCCGTTTATCATATCCATACACGCATAAGAATTATATATATATTATTAGATGAACAACTCAAATAATTATCATATGAAGGAAATTTTATTTAATGTACTTTTTGGAATATTCATGATATATATGTTCCAAAACTAATCTAAAATCATTATGAAATTAGTTTGAACATTTGATATGACATTTGTTGATAATTTTATTTTGTGATTAACATTTTTATAATAAAATATGGTTATATTAATATTGTTTATGGATACAGATATTAACTGATCCAGCTCATCCGATTATGCCCACCCTTACCTTAGCTAGTAGTTAGCATAATGTCCTTTTGGTGAATAATTTAAAAGTGTATAATTCGTTTTCTATAATATTTTGAAATTGTAGGTTTCAATTTTGAATGGTATTGTCATGGGAGGCGGAGCTGGTGTCTCTATCCATGGTCGATTTCGTATTGCAACTGAGAAAACGGTATTTTTTTTGTTGAGTTTAAACATGTTTTTAGATGTTTGTGAGCATAATAAGCCTCTAAATGGATGAAAAATAGATCGCACGCTATGAAATATGCTCATATCTTTTGAGTTTTTTTCTTTCTTCCAAAGGTTTTTGCCATGCCTGAGGCAGAACTAGGGCTCTTTCCAGATGTAGGCGCCTCCTACTTCTTGTCAAGGCTCCCTGGTTTTTTTGGTAAACAAAAATTCATTTGGCTTTGCATGTCTACAAAAGTGTAAGCCTTGTCTTTCTCTCATCCTTCTTGTCTTCTTGTTCAGGAGAGTATGTTGGCCTCACAGGAGCTAGGTTAGATGGCGCAGAAATGCTTGCTTGTGGTCTTGCAACTCATTTTGTGCCTTCAGCGGTATGAACTTACTTTGCTTACCTCTTTCGGATTCAGAAATTGATTAGTATTTTTTCTCGCCAAGGATTGTATAGACATTTATCTGTCGTGTCATGCACTTAGCCGCTGACCTACGTAATAAGAAGAAGATACGGGATCCCTTTATTAAAAAAAAAAGAAAAAAAGATACGGGTTCATCTGACTACAATTATATATATTTAGATATTTTAATTGTATGATTGTATAATTGATATTGAAATAACTATATAGTAGTTGTATATGTAGTTGGTCAATTTTGACTTATTGACCCCACAGTACAATGTTGTTTCGATACTCGTATTTTTAAGGAAAAAAACAATTATATTATGATCCAAATAAAAAAATAGTTGTGGCCGCTCTGCTTGTTCAGAGTGTTTATTTTTTCCGGCTTGATGGCTTGTGTTGACTGTTAATATTAAGGGTAATAGATAAGTGTCTATAACCAAAATTGCGGTCTATAATATTTATTTGTGACGTTCTTAATAACTTTTTCCACTTAAGAATTTTTATTTTCTAGCTACTATATATTGTTAAGCAGTGTATGCTTCACGAATGATTTTTTACTTAGTAAGGTTTACTCCTTGTCACAGAGGTTGGCTGCATTAGAAGAAGATCTTTGCAGAGTTAGTTCAAGTGATCCAACCTTTGTCTCCACAATTCTCAATGCATACGCTCAGCATCCGCACTTGAAACAGCAAAGTGCTTACCACAGGCAAGTGTATACCTATGATTTTTTCTCTTTTATTTTTTTTTCTACTTTTACATAAGATTGTCGAATATATTTTGCCGTGCCAACATCACAACCATTAACCTTTTTCAAAAAAAAAAAAATATATCACAACCGTTCTAGGTCATGTACTAAAACATTTTCTCTATCATTAATTAATAAAAGAGTTTTGTCTATCAAAAACTCTTTTATTTTATTAATTTCCACCTTGTATTGGTGTCAGCTAGCTTTCACTTGCATTTAGATGATTCATGCCTTATTAGATCTTTAATGGTAAAATTGTGTTAGCTGTTTCTTATCTTTTGTCCGTTTGTTTCTTTACGTAGGTTAGAAGTTATTGATAAGTGCTTCTCGAGGAGAACCGTCGAAGAAATCTTATCTGCACTTGTAAGTTTCTCATCCATATATAGGATATATGTTGACTTGCTGATCCGGAGTTATACCATTGACAATGCACCTTACCATCATCTATATGTGTCCCTTAGGAGAAAGAGGCCACTCAGGAACCAAATGATTGGATCTCAAAAGCCATTAGAGCAATGAAAAAGGCTTCACCAGCAAGCCTTAAAATCGGTCTTAGATCGGTTAGTTTCGCAGAATACATCACATGCAATAATGATGAGAAATAGATAACTTATATGTATAAATTTCAGATAAGAGAAGGACGATACCAAGGGGTGGGGCAGTGTCTTATACGTGAGTATAGAATGGTGTGTCATGTGATGAAAGGAGATATAAGCAAAGATTTTGTGGAGGTTTTGTCACTTTTCTCGATTGTATCTTCTTCTTGTAATTGTCCTCGTTGTAGACATAATAAAAAAGTGTTTCTTACTAATGCAGGGGTGTAGAGCCATATTGATAGACAAAGATAGGAACCCAAAGGTTTAACAAATATCTCCATTCGCTATTTGTACGTTGGTTTTTGGTTATGTCATTTTGTTGTTGTAATGATGTATACTGAAATTACAGTGGAAGCCACGGAGTTTGGACGAGATGAAAGACAACATGGTTGAGCAATACTTCAAGAGAGTGGAGGGAGAAGAAGGGTGGGAGGATCTAAAGCTTCCACAAAGGAAGAACTTGCCTCCTTTAGTGATCTCAAAGCTCTGAAGTGGAGAAGTTGATGAAGTGAAGAAGTTGATGGAGATGACACGCTAGCATTCAAATCCTCGTTCCTTGTTGCTAGTCATGCATGTTGATATAAAATACTTACTTAGATTTTACTAATCGATTGTTTCTCTGCTTTTATAAGTCCTTAGTTACTGTTGAACGTTCAATAACGAGAGAAGTATAGTTTTCCTTATGTCTAGGGACCTATCTCTCCACTTTTCCGACTTTCTCTACGATTTCATATTTCTTTTGCTTATTTTTGTTTCATTTTACCTGTTTAGTGTTTTATTCTACGTACATTTTGATTGGAACCGCATCGGTGGTATCAAAGATTATATTTTGCTTTTGATCCAAAACGCTATATGTTATAAAAAAAACAATCTATTTTTCATCTTTTGTTTTCGCTCCGGACTATTTTGTGGTATCTTTTTTTTTTTCAACTATATACTATTTATGATATTGTGGTACCAAAAACCCTGATAAGAAATTAGATATATTTTTTTAATGATTTTTATAAGAAAAGGCGACAAGCACCATGTGTTTTATTCAAAATTCGTTTATATGTTTAATTTATTTTTTCAAAGAATTTATTATTTATAACTTATGCTGTCACTATTTGGAATTTAGTATTTATATAATTTAGTTTTAGAATTTAGTATTTAGTATTTATATAATTTATGCTCCACTTTTCCGACTTTCTCTACGATTTCATATTTCTTTTGCTTCTTGTTTCATATTTTCTTTTTAGTGTTTTATTTTACTTTTTGATTGGAACCGCATCGGTGGTATCAAGTATTATATTTTGCTTTTAATCCAAAATGTGTATGTTACAAAAAAAAACAATCTAATTTTCATCTTTTGTTTTTGCTCCGGACTATTTTGTGGTATTTTGTTTTGTCAATTTTTTTGTGGTATCTAAAACATAAATTTCAGTTTTGAACCGGACTATATATACTATTTATGATATTGTGGTATCAAAAACCCTGATAAGAAATTATATATAATTTTTTTAATGATTTTTATAAGAAAAGGCGGCAAGCACCATGCGTTTTATTCAAAAACATTTTATATATTTAATTTATTTTTTCAAAGAATTTAGCATTTATATAATTTATGCTGTCACTAACCGGAATTAACCGTCAACGTAGGCTCTTTTTAGTTAGTCAAGTTGGTCCTTTCTTTTCCTTTTAGTAATAGTTAGTCTTAACGGTATGTAGCTAATTACTTATTTTTAAGAGGAAATGCTCAAAAATTTCATTCGGAGAAATTATGAAAACAACGTTTTTAATATTTTTTATAAATATCAGTGTTATTTTCTATTATTTTTATTTGTAATTAATGATAGACTAAATGTAAACTACCGGCTGATAAATTGGCTATACAATTAAATACAAATTAATGACAAATTAATAATAGATTAAATGCAGATTCATTGGTAGTATCTAAAAGAAGTAATTTGCTATATTAAAATAATATAAAGAATTGTAAAAATAGGAGAGAGAAGAAAATAATTCTTATTTCAGATATAAAAAAACATTTGACACTTTCTAATTGGTCAAAAAAAATTTAGTTTGAATTTATTTTTTTTTATTAAATCATATTTGAACAATTGATATTACATGGTTAAAATACTCTTTAGAGTATATAAACTATTAGACATGCTTTTATTGACAGATTAGCAACAAATTGAAAGCATACCAGTAAATCCTCTTATGAATCAATTTAATAAAGGTCATATTTTACAATAAAATTGTCAAATATATTATTCAATATATTATTCCGAATTTTCAATTGTGGGATTATAGTAGTGATCCCGATCAAGTACACAACAACACTAGATCTCCTTTACGAACATTTCTCTTTATCTTCCTTTGGCTAAATTTTTTTTTATCTTTTTCTTTCTTTATTAATTTTTCTTGTTTATATAGGAAACAACGGAGAAGGAATCATCGGTTTCTATAACTTGTGGAAATGACAGGTGAGATGTGCTCCTAGAAACAGAGAGGAACACTTTCTCTTATTTTTAAAAACATATTATTTATTAAAACTTGATCTATAATTTAGATTCAATAATTTAGATGAAAAGACACACACGCACACAAGTGTCGACTCACTCAAGCTGATAGGTGAAACCATTGATAGTGAGACCTCCATCAACACAAATGGTCTGACCAGTAATATATGAAGCTGCGGGGAGACAGAGAAAAGCCACAAGTGATGCAACCTCGTTTGGCTCTCCAGCGCGACCAAGTGGAATGTTACTTAACAAACTCTTCTTGTTACCGGCGTCGAGAAGCTGATTATTCACAATAATTTAAGAAACAATAATGAGAAGTGAATAATATTTATTTTAGAATTAAAAAAAAAAACTAGAGGGTGTCACTGATTACAGTTTGAGTCATAGCAGTTTGGACATAACTAGGAGCAACAGAGTTGGATCTTATGCCGTCTCGTGCCCATTCACACGCCAATTTTTTTGCTAGGTGATTCATAGCTCCTACACTCACACACATTGACACATATAAAGAAAACTATATGAGACATGAGACATGTATTAGCTAGAACCCCAAAGAAACTTAGATCTAATGAACAAAGCTTTTCTAGAAATGAATTATATCAGGACAATCAGTTAATCATTGGAAGTAGCTTTTGGAGAAAGATTTTTGATCCATCAAAATAATTAATTACCTTTAAATTAGTCTTGTTTGTGTATCTAATTATCTATGTACAAATAAATATTTCGAAACTGGGATTACATACTATTGAAACAAAAACTGCTTGCCTTCACTATATTTGGAATCTCATATATGAATCAAGTTGTGATCTAAAAAACTTAATAAAATGTATAATCTAATCAACTGATTAACGTAATTTAACACTAAAATCATTTGACAAATCATACACGTAGTTAAAAAATCTCCTAACCAAATATATAAAGTAAGCTTGTATTTAATTACATGAGCATATATAATACTATATAACTTTCAAATATCTCCATTGATTAGTCATTCTATGTACTTTTGGTTAAACCATAGATAGATCCAGTGTCCATTGATACAACCCCTCCAACAGAGGAAATAAAGACGATGCTTCCAAATCCAGAAGCCTTTTGGAGAGGATGTGAAAGTTGGCTAAGATGATAAGGAGATTCTATGTTTGTTGTAATATGGAACGAGAAATCGTCTTCCACATATTCAATTGTTGGCTTTTTGCGACGTTGTTTACCTATGTTGAACAAAAAAAGGAGTAACAAAACTGTATATATGTCACTATTTAACTTACAAGAATGTTGAGCTTCCCATCGAACATTGTTGAGACGTTCTGCATGAGCGCTTCTCTCTCGGGACGAAAGGATAGATCACAGATTGAACCACTCATTTGAAACCCTTTCTTTTCCCATTCGCTTAAACTTTGGTTGAGCAATGTTTCAGATATGTCACATACATGGATTCTGGCTCCAAAACCGGCTAGCTCCTCTACTATGGCATGCCTAAAACAGTCCACAACGAATGAAAAAAAAAAAAAAAAAAATTAGCAAGACATTTTAAACAAAAAAGCAGAATGATGGGTAAAAAAATATGATATTCCTAGAGAGTAGAAAAACGAACCCGATTCCGCTGGCTCCACCATATACAAGTGCAGTCATACCTTGAAGACTCCATCTTTTATCCATTTTTTTGTTACGTTTGTGTTTGAATAGCAATGGCCAGAGATGCCACATAACATATAGAGAGGGAAAGGATAATGACTTTTCGAAGAGTAGTAACATTAGGCATCATTTAAAAAGAAAAGGGATAATTTTTGAAATACCCCAGTTTTAAAAAAGGAGTGAAGAGAATGAGGTTTTCTCATGCCTTTTGTTTAGCCTCTTTTGTATTTCTTACCTAATTCAAGTCCTTATTTTATATAGTTTTATTTGCATCGTAATTTGTTTACTCTCATATCTTTTCATTATCTTCTTCATCTGTAACTATAAAAACAATAATTAAGGACTCGATCGAATGGTTAAAGATTTATGTGGTCTTTGAGTTTACGTTTTTGATTTTAGGTTTTTGTTTTTGCTAAAAAACTAAGTGGATGGTTTTTAAATTTCTACTGGTTTTTTAGGTTCTAAGAACACTCGTTTTCCAAAACTTGAGTGAATGATTTAATGAGTTTTTTGAATAACAAAAATTTAAAACCTATATTAAAACTAGCTTTACAAACCAACTTAGCTCAAATCTTGCATCTCTAAAACAAAGTCTTGACAGTACCATGATTTAGCAAACAAAAGTCCAATACTATCTTGCATCTCTATATTTCGTAACAATACGATATCTATACTTCATCCATTTTCCACAAAGTAATTAGGGTGAAAGTTTGAAACTCGATCGTACGTAATACTATTACTTACTGACGTTTATTCATGTCTTCGAAATTTTTAGCAATGAATGTTTTAAAGAGACGTGTTTGAAAACATCTCGAGTCAGCCAAAAACCCTAAAGTTTTTTTTTTAATAACAAATTTTAAACCACAAAGTTGTTGCACGAAGACAGAACAGATAACTCATTTGAACAAAACGTTTTGAATATATGTTCGGAAAATCAGCAACTAGCAAGTTTAAATGTGAGAAAATGTAACCATTAATGTATAAGTTTTTAGCCGAAAACAAATTTCTATAATTTTAATGACTAAAACAAATCTTAATGTCAACTAACAAATCTTATAGAAAAACAATTCATGCATTTCAAGTAACCCTATATACTAATGTCAACTAAAACCAATATCTGTATTTCTCACATCTTAAGTAAGGTTTGTTTAATCTTTTCATGAATGTATGGGATATTTCTACTGTAAAGTTAAAGATTATAAATTTATAACGTGGTACGTACATGCATCTACATGTGCACACTGCACAGATCTTTATTAAGAAGACTGACAAAGAATTGACAAAAAAGAAAAACGACTGACAAAGAAAAAAGGGAAATCTCCTAGAAATGTGAGAAATATAAGCTTTTTGGTGATTTTAAAACTTTGCTATCTATTGAGAGACACGGACTTGTATGATTAAATTCGACAGTCAGTAACACCCTTTTACTTTACGAGTTATCCTATTGGTCCCATAAAATTATTTATAATATAAATTTTGTATTCAAAAAGCAACTTGAATCTCATCTGCATATCCGCGCGACAAATATTTTTATAAAATTAAATGATATAATTTAACAAATAAAATCCGATTTATGTGCTTTTTTATAGTTATAAGAATTATAGATTAGTTTTATATGTTAAGAGAATTAAAATTAAATTTTGGAGTTCAGGTGGAATAAATATTTTTGAACTTAATTGGTATCACATTTGTTTGTACACAATTTTAAAGTTAAAAACATAACAGATTCAATCTTATATAAATATGTATTTAATATAGAATTCGGTTCAATTGTATAAATGATAATTATTTTATTTAAAATTTACAAGTTATAATTCTATAGACATATAATTATTATATAATAAATAAATAAAATTATCAATGTTAATGTTTATCAGATTAGATAGACAAATTTCAACGAATTCTTTTTCTATATTGTTCTCCGTTCTTCTTCTTCTACTACTTTTTTAATCTCTTTTCTTCTTTTCCGTTCTCTTTTCATTCTTTTATCTTCTTCTCCATTCTTCATTTTCTTTTAACCTCTTATTCTCTCTTCTTTTTCTTCTTTGTTCTTCTTCTTATACTTTTTTTTCTCCATTCTTTTCTGTTTTTCTTTCTTTCTTATCTATTATTTTTATGCTTTTCTGTTATTTTCCGTTCTTCTTTTTCTTTTTTTTTTCTTTTTCTTCTCTGTTCTTCTTCTTTTTCTTCTTCTCCTTCTCCGTTCTTCTTATGTTGTTGTTGTTGTTCTTCTTCTTTTCTGTTCTCCATTTTCTGTTCTTTTTTTCTTCTCTGTTCTTTTTCTTCTTTTTCATTCTTCTTCTTATTTTTTTTGTTATTCTCCATTTTTTTTCCCTTTTTTTCAATTTTTCTTCATTTTCCATTCTTCTTCTTTATTTTTCATTTTCTTCTTCTTCTTATATGTTCTTCTCTGTTCTTCTTCTTCTCTGTTAATTCTCTGTCCATCTTCTATTTTCTTATATATTCTTCGTTCTTCTTTTTCTTCTTCTTTTTCACCATTCTTCTTTTGTTTCACCATTCTTCTTCTTAAGTCTTCTCTGTTTATCTTCCATTGTTGTTGTTGTTTTTCTTTTTCTTCTTCTCTATTTTTCTTCTGTTCATCTTTGTTTTTCTTATGTTCATCTCTGTTTTTCTTCTGCTTCTTCTTCATTCTTCTTCTTTTTCTTCTTTGTTCTTCTCCCATTTTTTTCTTCTTCTTCATCATATTATCATTTATCTCCATTCTTCTTCTTTGTTTTATTTTACCCTTCTTCTTCTTCAATGTTCTTCTTCTTTTTCTCCATTTTTATTTTACATTCTTCTTCTTCTTTGTTTGATTTCTCCATTCTTCTTCTTTTTTTTTTCCTTCTCTTTCTTGTTCTCCTTCTTCTCATTTTCCCCTTCTTATCATTATAAACAATGACTTTTATGAGTATTATGTTATTTTTTTTAATTCCCGTTTCATTTATTTCATTTATTACCTTATCATAATTTTGTCCCGAATTTTAAATTGAACTTTCATATTACAATTATTTTGGTTTTTAAATTTCCAATTCATTTTTGTTTTTACAAACATGATGATTGTCAAATACATAAATAATTATTGCTAGAAACTTTTTTTTATTAATTACAAATATAAAAATAGTATTTTTGAATAAAACTGAAGTAATATTTCATATTTCTAAAATGACCACTAATCACTACTTTCTTAACATGAATAATTTTCTTAAATAAAAAACTGTTATAAACATTCAACTATAAAATAAAAAAATTATAAATGATATAAGATATAGTAAAAGAAAGTAATTATATCTATATACGAAAGCTAATAACAACTTAAGAATTGATTACATAAGAAAATGTTCAGAAAAGGAAGTCCTTCTTAAATCTGTGGCAACTGCGATGCCAGTTTATAGCATGCAAATCTTCAAAATACCGAAGACCATCTGTGATGAGATAAATAGTATACTAGCAAAGTTTTGGTGGAGTTCAGGAAATGATAAAAAAGGACTAGACTGGTTTGCTTGGAATAGACTGAGGTTACCGAGAAAGAAGGAGGTATGGGATTACTTGGGAAGCAAATCTGGAGAATCATGCATACGCCTACATGTCTAATGTCTAAAGTGATGAAAGAAAGATATTTTCCTACAGGTAATATATTAACTGCCAAAGATAGAACAAGAAGCTCTTTTATTTGGAAATCGCTATTACAAGGGAGAGATTTGGTCAAAAGTGGACTGAGATTTGAAATTGGAGACGGATCCATTATTAGTGCTTGGATAGACCCTTGGCCACCTACTCACCCGCCACGACCACCAAAACCAAAGCAAAACAATGTTCTTCATTGTTCTGTAAGTGCATGGTTCAACTCAACATGTACTGACTGGAATGAAGATATAATTCGAGAGCTTGTCACAGAAGAAGATGTAAATAAAATCCTAAAGATCAAATTGAGTGCTACAACAGTTTTTTTGGGATGGCACTACAACAAATCAGGAGTCTATTCAATCAAATCAGCATACTGGCTATCAACGCATATGCCGGATACAAATGTACCGAGGCCCCCTCCAGACAATATCCAATCAAAAATAAATATTTGGAAACTACAGATCCCCCACCCCCCCCCCCCCCCCCCCCCCCCCCCCCCCCCCCCCCCCCCCCCCCCACCCCCCCAAAATAAAACATTTCCTCTGGAGAATGTTATCAAACGCTCTTGCAACAGGGGAAGCTCTGCGAACAAGACATATCGCCAATCTGAAGGAATGTCCGCGATGTTCTTCAGAAGAAGAATCTATTCAACATTAATTCTTCAACTGTCCTTATGCGCATGTCTCTGGAGAGCTACTGGAATCCCATATATAGACCTTCTCAACTCAACAACAGCCATTGAAGACAAGCTTCGAGTAATAAATGATTATAAAAACACGCTATCCTCACACCTTCATTACCTAAGTTATTAGATTCTATGGAGGCTTTGGAAGTGCCGGAATGTGCTCTTATTTCAAAGACGTCATATACCATGGTTAAAAGTGCTACAACTAGCAAAATATGATACTCAAGAATGGCTTGATAGCCAGAATCATATAGCCAGAATTTCTCAAACAATCCCGGGTCCAACAAACACAACAAACAGAAGACAACAGCGATGGACAAGACCCCCACTTGGATGGATTAAGTGCAACTACGATGGCTCCTACAAAAAAAATTTACCGACGAAAGCAGGATGGATATTAAGAGATCACGAGGGTATTTTTAGGGGAGCTGGTCGGACTATTACAAGTAGTCTCTCAAATCTCTTGGAAAGTGAAGCACAAGCCTTGCTAATTTCGATGCAGCTATGTTGGGCTAAAGGATATACACGAGTCGTTTTTGAAGGAGATTCACAACAATTACAGAAGTTAGTACCAAAATAGAGCCTAAACTGCGGTTTACTCAATTGGCTGAGAGAGATTTGGCATTGGTCTACAGGTTTTGAAGACATCAAATTCTGTTGGGTACCAAGAGAACATAATAGTGAAGCTCATGCTGTTGTGATATCAAATGATGCTCCTTTAATTTCTTATGTTTATTATCACACTCTTCTTATCTGTAACTAATCACAATCAGCATACCCGCTACAATTCTTGATGTAATATGTTGGAAAAAAAATTTTAAAAAAAGAAAATGTTTGGAAAAAAAAGAATTGAGTATATGTTGTATAACTTGAACTGATATAATAGTTGATATAAGATGCGATCGGATATGCAGACGTCGAAACCGTATTGATGACGTAATCGCCCAAATTCACGGATTCTATCTTTTTTTATATGCCCACGACCCACATTCACAGGCGCAGACGGAAGGAGGCACCCTTTCCGGCGATGGTGGTGGCGTAGGCACCCTTTCCGTCAATGGTGGTGGCGTAGGCGCCCTATCCGGTGGTGGTGGTGGCGCAATTCGAATTTCAGATGTGATTACTCTCTCGGTCGGAGATACACTCGTGGATGAAGAAGCTTCTCGATTCACGATGATCTCTTGAGTATTGGATTGGGCCATAATGTTTGGTGTTGTAATGGGCCTTATTGTCTCCAGATTTTGTCTACCTACTGAGGTATTAGGCCCTCGGATCCAGATCTTCTCTCTTTTGCTCTTCAGCCTCTTTTTATATGACAAATCTTCTTATTCACGCGGCGCGGTGGGAGCAACTTAATTAGTACTTGGTTTGGTAAGTCCACCCGGAAACAATTCGTTAAGAAGCTATTAGTAGGCCTAAGCGAAAAACTCAATGCTTGTGCGAGGCCTATTAGTCATGCATTACCTCATGGCCTGGTAGTAATAAAAATGAATCCAACAATACTTTAATTCTTTCAACAACAACAAAAAGTTTTTTCTCCACTTGTTTTATATTTTTGTTTAAAAACTTATGTAAAAAAGCCTTAACATCAAATAATTTTAATTTTTAAAAGTAAAAAGATAACCTAAAATATTAAAAGAGGATCATTTCTAAAAAAATGTCCAATCTCTACCGTGGTATTTACTTTCTATGCCATTGGGTTTGCTAGAACATTTTATATTTTCATTAAGGGTAATTCTGACTTATTCCTACACTACTCATACCTAATTAATGCAATCAAAATCAAACTAATCATATCTCATTCGTAATACATTTCATTCGGTCAATTCTATTCAATCTATAATACACAAATATAATCGTTTAACCGGTTTCATAATGTGTATATCTATCTAATGCGTGATTGTGGAGCATCAACTCATTTTCCTGCAAATATAACTTGAAATATCAATTCTATGCAAGTAAATATCATGAATAACTATGATCACACACCTATTAACCATAATCGTAAATTTTATATGTCTAATCTAAGCCAAAAATCTATTGATCATTTGAACCGTATTATCGTCCAGCTAAATTTGCACAATATTTATTGTGGAATATCATATCTTATTATATGAAGTAAAGAAATTCCTAAGATCAATTAGTTTAATTTATAGCATAATGTAGATCCTTTTAAGTCAATGCATCTCAAACCAAATCAATGATGCACTGCATATAAACCAGTTTATCTATACATATAATTGAGGTGTTCAAATTCGATCATATCGACACCAAAACTTTCTGAAACCAATGAAACCCCGCGTATTTGTAAATTCTCAAAACATTATTAAGAAATATTCGTTTTAGATGTACTTTAAACCGGTTTATCTATACCTAAAAAATCGGACGCGGTTCAAATTCGATCATATCTACACCAAAACTTTTCCAAACCAATAAAAACCTGCGTATTTTTAAATTCTCAACACATTATTAAGAAATATTCATTTTAGATCTACTTTACATATGTAGCGATCTTATTTACAAAATTTGTTATAAGTAAAGATATTATCGTATTAGAAATATCGGAGATAAATGATAGTTAATCATATATTTGAATATTATTTTAAAAAATCATAACTACGTATATCTTTGAAAATACTAATAACAATAAAATATGATAAATTCTGAAATAGTTTTAGCAATTAGTTAAGAGTTCAAAATATTCTTTCAAATATTTTGTTCAATGATCATCAACGCATACCATAAATTACTCTAACTAATTGCGTACTAAATATATATGAGAATATATCCTTCATATAGGTACTAAATATATATGAGAATATATCCTTCCTATAGGTACTCCTCTTATATATAGACTCGCTAAATCTTAAACAAAATACTATGCTCTATTACAACTCTCGAAAAATGAGTTTTCTAATTGGTTTCACTAACCTGGCCGATGTCAAACCATTCAAGTCATCTTGGCGAATCTGCGTGAAAGTCCTGCACTCATGGAAGAAATACACTGTCCAGTCAGGTCAAACTTTGGAGCTTATTCTTGGTGATGAAAATGTGAGTCTATGGTTTTTGTTAACTGAACACAAAATGGCTTATTGCAAGTTTGGAATATGATCTAATATGTTTAACGTTACCTTTGTAGGGTACTTTGATACATGCATCGTGTAAGAAGACATATGTGAGCCGTGTTAAACGGTTGGTTCCAGTAGGAGAATGAAAAGTCATTGAGAACTTCTCTTTGACATCTGCATTTGGTCAGTATCGTCCAACTAAGCATAATTACAGGATATCTTTCACAAACAACACTAATATCACCAAGTGCAGTGTCAAAAACAACTTTGAGTTCATCAATCTCGTGGACTTTGGCACTATTCTAAGCGGAAACCTTAACCACAATTTCTTAGTTGGTAAATCTTAATAAACTATGATTTTTTCATATTTGTTTAATTCTTAAAATATGGTTAGTTTAATGATATGGTTATGATACAAATATTTTCAGTTAAATGAATACTGATATATTAATGTCCACAGACGTGCTTGGCCAAGTTATTGACGTCAAGGATATTGAAATTGTTCAAGTCAATGGGAAAGAGAGGAAAAAGATTAAATTTGAGCTACGAGATACTAAGTAATCGATCCCTATAACCCTATCTATTTATGATTATTTAATTAATTTAGTTTTATTATAATTTATCTTTGCAACTTAATCATAATTTATTATTGATTTTACTATACTGTTTTCAATTTTTATAGTGATGATCGAATGCCATGTTGTTTGTGGGAAAAGTGTGCTGATCAACTTTGGACAAGTTGCCAAGAAACAACTGGAAATGTTGTTATATGCCTAATCAGGTTTGCTAAAATTGAATATTACAGAGGTATTTTTTTTCTAAGAACTGACCTCTGTAGGATTTGCTTAGAGAATTACGGAATGATTGAAATTTACAGTCCTCTTCGTAGGCAAACTTCAGATTACAAATGCTTTTGAGACATCCAAGCTAATGATGAATCCTGCTTTACCTGAGGTTGCAGAATTCATGAATGTGTAAGTGTTTATAATTCAATCGAATGCTATGTTGAAGCATATGTCATTATTAGTTTACATTACCTTAAGTATGATCATCCTTTTCATGATTTTTCAGTTTGCCAGATGATGGTCTTGCTCTCACCATTGTTGAGACTGCAAATGATGATAAGATGGTGAAGAAGAAAGAATACTGGTCTAACCTGCAACAGAAGACTATTGAGGAGGTACTTATTACTTTGGAGGTAAAATAATCAGTTGTTTTTTATAATACTACGGCATGTCCTCTACAATGCTCATATATTCGTTATGACTATAATCTCCGATGGTTTTTGATCTTGAAAGGTTGAGAAGTGCAAGATTGTGTGTTCAATCTATGCCATTGACACAGATTGGGGTTGGTACTATTTTGGGTGCATAAAATGCAACAGAAAGGTTGAAAAAAGAACTAAAAAGCAAGCAGGAGCAACAGTTCGTATCAATGACCCTACTTGGTGGTGTAAGGCATGCAACAAAATTGTCACTAAAGTGGAGACCAAGTAAATGTTACTAAGCATATACACTTTCATGGTTTATACTATTTAATAGTTCTAATCCCTATAATTAGTAACTGCATCTTATTGATGTTTTTTTAGGTTTAAACTGCATTTTATGGTTATGGACCAAACAGCGAAGACTAAGGTGGTGCCACTTGATACGGTCGCTAGCACTATTGTACCGCAGTCAGCTACAAAACTAATAGGAGGTTCTTTTGATGAAGTATAAGCGTGTAATTATATTTATTTTATAGTAAGTTTAACTTATGATCATCGTTAAAAAGATTTGTCTAATTATTTGCTTCTTGAATTAACTAGATGGTTGATCCTGAAAATATTTCCACAAGCTATCAAGGATTTGATGGGCAAAACTTTCCAGTTATGTGTTTGTGTTGAGAAAGAAAATTTGTACTACGGTTTGGAGACGTATAAGGTTGGGAATGTATACTCTGGAAATGAAATTATCACACTTGCAGACTCCTCTATGGACGAACTGACTCAAGTTGATAATTTATCAACTATTATTTCCGGTGATGAGGTATTTTTACATATTTTTATTATTTAAACTAATATGTACTTGATTGCTGTCGAAATATCCTAATTGTGACCTAATTACTACGTAGGTTTCAATTATCCACAGCAACAGCGACGAAAATTCAAAGATAAGCACTATTCCTTCAAGTAAGCATTCTTCAGATGAGTTAGAAAGCTTACCTGATCTGTCTTTAACATCAAAGAAGCTCTGTATGAAGACAATCACACAAGAGAATATTGATGGAAAGTTGCCTGCCACTGGAAAAGAGATTGTTGTGATTAAACGTGAAAAAAATGATGTGGAAAAGAAAATCAAAAACGGTGACAGTCAGACAATTCTAGCCGGAACCAAAGAAAAAAGAAGGAGAAGTAACTTGCATCATTCAAAATTGAAATACATTTTTTAGGATCATTTCATTTTTTCATTTGAACTTTCTTTGATGACATTGAGTAATCGTTTCTATTATCCTTTGCTTGTGGTTTTTATGGTTTTGGAGTTTTTTTAATTCAATAAGACTGGTTTTTCCTTGAATTTTGATTTATTGATTATTCACGGACAGAAATTATATGAAATACAAAAATGCTTACCCGTTTTAGTCTTATATGGATTATAAAAATCAAAATGTCCAAATCTTTTATATTGGTCCTTTATAGTTTTGGACCCGCTAGAGATAATATTTTTATTTTGTGCTCTTCTCAAAACAATTTTATAAAGTATGAAGCCCAAACAAACCAACTATATAACATAATTGGGCTGTATAGTTAACCAAATTTTTTAAGAAAATAAGATTTTGGCTATCAATGATTCGACCAATAACTTCATTATAAATGAAATCATCTTTAGTCAAATCGTGATCTTTTACGGTGCAAATTATCTGAAGAACAATTTTTTTAAAAACTTATCGGTGCAATTGTATTGTCTTTTCCCATTCCCTTTTTTTTAAAATGTCACCTACAAACCTGACACAAAGTTAGTTTGAGTTATAGGGATTGCATTGATAACAAAATTTAAATTCATTTAACTAAATTCTAAAATACAATGCATCTAAAGCCGTAACCTACATCTCATCCCATTATATATAGAAGATGAAGTTCCCAAACTAATAATAAACACAACCTTTTTTCTTCATTTCTTACTTTCCAAATACTAAAATAATGAATTTTATCTATGATAAAGTCATTGATCTTCATCAATGGAAAGCGGACTGGTTTATGCGTGTGAAAATTCATAGGAAGTGGCTTACCATTGATCAAGATGGAGTTCAGTCTCTCCATTTTGTATTGATTGATGAAGGTGTAAGTAATTTATTCTACGTATATGGTTATTTTTTTTTTATCTTTGTCTTTTATATGTTTTCATTTAAATATTGATTTTTCAGTATATTAACTAGACCTAATTTCTACACAAATTTTTTGTAAGGTGACAAAATCCACGGTTATATAAACTGGGAGTGGATGATACCATATTTTGACCGAAAAATGCAGGAAGCAGAGTGGAAGAAAATCTACAATTTTACAGTCATCAGAGTACCGAATCTGGTACGTTTAACTGAAACTGATAAAGAACTCAGTTTCCTAGAGAACACTGAGATGAAAAGAACAAAGTACGATAGTGAAGACCACTTCCTTAATTTCAAAAGCTTTGATACTCTTTTCAACCTCGATGTTCCTCTACAACTTCCTGCTGGTAAAATACTGTAAACTCTTCCTATTCTATACTATAAAGATTCTTATTCCGCAAGTTCCAGTGATCTTAAACTCATTTTAATTTTAATATAGATGTTATTGGGAAAGTTATGCATGTTGAGGATCTAGAGTTGCTCCATGATGACCTGTTTGGTCCTGACTCTCTAAAACAAATATGTCGTCTAAGGTTCACGATGGTCAATAACGAGTAAGATTGTACAATTTTTTTGTATTTTGTTTGATCTTTCAATGTTTGTTTTATTATTTAATTTGTCTCGTGACAGTGATGAAGCTATTCAATGTGTGGCTTTTGGGAAACTGGTTGAGGATTTTAGTCAGCATTGGTATTGTCTTGACGACGTTAAAGCAGTTTGTGTTTTATCTGATTGGCGTCCTAGGATTGTTAATGGTAAATCTTAACGTTGTAATAATTTTTAAAAAAATATTAGATTAGCATTAACTCTAATACAATATAATACCGTCTTCGTTTTAAATTTAGGTGTTGAACAATTGATAGATGATAGAGGAGTTTCTCGATTTAACTTCAATCTCGAAATTGAAGAGGTGTTTGAATTCAAAGAGAACATGTAAGGTCCTTTATGTTTAGTTTGTTTCTACTTAAAGCTGTGAATAGTTTAGATACCTGATAAATTTATGATGGTTTTTAATGAATATGAGATACTGATATGTCTATTTTGTTTTTACTTAAATGTCAAGCCAAACACATCCATTGAGATTGATTAAAAGAGCAGAAGAGGAGTAAAACTACTGTTGGAGTCCAAGCAACGTGAAAGAATATTTTAAAAGTGTGATTTGTATTTCATTTTAAGTTTCAAGTTATTTGTTGAACTTTCTTTATTTTCTGCTTTATCTCGTGTGTTGAATATTTCGTATTCAGTTTCTATTACTTTTCTTAACTATTGTCATTTCTAGAAAAATTTAACTGTGCTTTGTATTTCATATTAAGTTTTATATACTTTAATTAAATATTTAAGTTTATGTAAATATATTCTATCAAATATTTAGTATTAAATATTTTCTATTTAGTATATATTTTAAAAGATACTATAATGCTGTGATTTTCTAGAGATTTCCTTAACTACATTTTAACTACCAAAAACACAATATCTCTAAGCTAAATAATTCTTAGATTTTTAATAACAAAAACTACTTATACGAGAGCGTGATTTAGTACATCCATCAAAACTAATTCTTAATTTTTTTTCTCGAATTTCACTATGAATAGTAAACGAGATGAAATTACTGGTGATGAAAATTTTCAAGTTTCTACCTCTAAAAAGAATAAGAGAAGAAGGAATACTTTTCAGAAAGAGAATGAATCTCAATTTGCACAGTCACAAAAAGTTCTATAACGCAATCAATACTAATATCGAGAACAGAGTTTTACGTGATGTTTCAAACGTACCTTTGCCAAATAGTGTACCCGCGTTGAGTGAAACAAGCAATTTCTTTCAGACACCTGCAAAAGGATACTATACAATATCAGGTAATGTTTTCGTGTAACAAATATTATATCTTAGCTTAGCTAATATCTTAAACCAAATGTCTATTTCATTTCAGATGATCCAATTTCCTCGGTAGTACGCGCTACTACTGATTTTGAGAGAAGCTGTTTGAGCCTAAATAAATTTGGAGAAGGATCAAATTCACCTTTTTCACGCTTTAGATCGCAGCAGTCGTCATCATCATCTAGGCTTGATCCATTTCATGATTTGCATTTAGATAAAACAAAAACAGATCAGACTCCACAAAACTATTCATCAGAAGGTTGTAAATAATATGAAACATTATGATACTATTATTACCGACTTAATAGTATTCTTTCATCAAATATTTTTACTTTACTATTATACTAATATTGTATTATATTGTGATCAACAGGATCTGATGAAGAGTCTGATGAACAAGATTTCGATTGTAGTAGTCAAGAAGATACACATTCAGACAATTCTGATGAAGATGATTTACAACATTCGGTTCCCTCACAACATACATAAGACAATTCGAGAATAAAAAACATAGCTGACATACTGAAAACCATGTTTTCCACTCCATACGATGTCAAAAATGCAAACAAAACCCCAGGTTTAAATGTTTCTCCTATATTACAATACTTAGTTTTAATAAAAAATTTAAGCATTTATGTGACTAACATATTATCCTACTTTGTAGAATACAATGATGAGGGTGATCCCATATATAGTTGTAAACATTGTGGTGCCTTATTTTGGTATGAACATTGTGTTGTCTACAGCGACATGTTGTTTTGCCTCAACTAAAGGATACTCCTCCCTACTTGAATTATCTGCTTACATCTAATGATGAGCTAAGTAAACATTTCCAGAAGAATATTAGGCCCTATAACATGGTTTTCTCTATGACATCTATAGGAGGAAGAGTAGATCGCTCAGTTAAAAAAGGAATAGGACCTCAAATGTTTCAGCTGCAAGGTGAAAACTACCACTTAATGGGTAGTATGCTTCCTAGGCGTGGTGTTTATGCTAAGTTCTACCAGCTTTACATAGTTGATACAGGAAATGAGGTCAATAACAGAGTTAATGTTCTCAGGTAGCTATTCTTATGCGTTAATGTTTACTACCTCCATACTTAAAATAATAACTGAAATTATATTCTCTTTTTCTATGTTTTTTGTTGCAGTAAATCGAAAAATTCAACACAGCCTACCAAAAGTAACAAACTCAGAACAGAAATCATTGATGCTTTAATCAAAATGTTAAATGATAGCAACCCATATGTATCCCAATTTCGTGCTGCAAGGGAACGATTTAACACAAGTCCTGAGGAAAGTTTTCATTTGTGGATTTTGGATGCTCGACCTACAGATGCAAAAACATACAATAGGCCCACATCTTCTGAGGTTGCTGCAATTATTCCAGGGGATTTCAATATTGAAATGGATAAAAGAGATATCGTTCTCCAAAAACAGTGGGAAGCTAAAGAGAATAAGTGAAGTTCATCCGTCTTATATGCCTCCCCAATATCAATTGCTTTTCCCCCATGAAGAGGATGGTTTTAGGCTTCATATTAAAAAGGGGATTACTATTGCTTCTAAAAAATCTAAGAAGGAAGGTATAAGTATGCGTCAATTCTTTGCATTCCGTATTCAGGATCCTGATAATGAATCACCTATTCTGCTCAGTTCAAGATGGTTATTTCAAAAATTTCTGGTTGATAGCTACACTATGATAGAAGCTAACAGATTATCCTATTTGAAAAAGAATCAATCGTCTTTGAGGTCTGACAGTTATGACTCTATAAAGCAAGCAGAAGAAGGTGGAGTTACTGACCTAAGTGAGCATGAAAATCGATTTTATCTACCAGCATCATTTACAGGTGGATACATGAAAAATATGTATCTGGATGCTATGGCCATTTGCAGATATTTTGGTATCTAGATCTGTTTATTACATTCACGTATAATCCTAAATGGCCTGAAATTAGTAGGTACCTAGAGAAGCGTAATCTCAAGCCTGAAGATAGGCCAGATATTATTTGTCGTATTTTCAAGATGAAGCTTGATTCTCTAATGCTTGATTTGACAGAGAAGGCCATGTTAGGTAAAATTGTTTCGTGTAAGTTATTCAGCTATGCGTTTTTTTTATTTTGTTTACAAAAATTATTTTTATTGTAATGCTATTCTTTTCATTTCGCAGCAATTTATACCATAGAATTTCGGAAACGAGGTCTACCACATGCTCATATTCTTCTATTCATGCATCCTAAATGCAAGTTTCCAAGTATCTGCTGAGATTCCTGTTCGTTTTACAGAACCTGTTCTATATGAAGTGGTTAAAGATATGATGATTCATG